GTGCAAGTAGAGGAGTGGGGAATCAAACCCGGTTCTCCTACATTAGAGTCCGCGCACTTAACCACTACACCAAACTAGCTCACCCAATGTGTGGTCTGTATTCATAAATGAATGGTCTTTATTCCCCATTTTCTGATCAACCGCAACAGGGCCTCATTCATTAGCGCAGTAACACCAGCGCTCATGACCTATGCGTAGTGGTTAGTGGTTTGGTGTAGTGGCTAGGAGCACAGACTCTAATCTGGGAGAACCGGGTTTGATTCCCCACTCCTCCACATGCAGCCAGCTGGGTGACCTTGGGTCAGTCACAGCTCTCTCAGAGCTATTCTCTCTTGAGCAGTTCTCGAAAGAGCTCCCAGCCCCACCTACCTCACAGGATGTCTGTTGTGGGGAGGGGGAGGGAAAGGAGATTGCAAGCCGCTCTGAGACTCCAAGGGAAGGGTGGGATACGAAGAAGAAGAAGAGATTGGATTTATACCCCACCCTTACAATCTCTTTCTCTTCTGTTCCCCACAACAGAAACCCTGTGAGGTAGGTGGGGCTGGGAGCTCTTTCGAGAACTGCTCAAGAGAGAATAGCTCTGAGAGAGCTGTGACTGACCCAAGGTCACCCAGCTGGCTGCATGTGGAGGAGTGGAGAATCAAACCCGGTTCTCCCAGATTAGAGTCCGCCACTCTTCACCACTACAGTGCGGCAGCCATTTTGTGGTGGCACCCACCACCCCGTGGTAGAATTCCATAGATGCCCACAGGCTGGGGACTCCTGGTCTAGACTGTCCCTGGTGAAATACCCTCCCCTCCCTGTATCCTCCCCATCATTCATTCATTTGGACTGTGATGTTCCATCCTGAGTAATTTCAGCCAATGACTCAGGACTCCACGACTCACGTCACAGGGAATACACATCTTGCAATGAAATGAGGAGCAAATAAAGTGGTAACGCCCTGAGGTGGTAGAGTGGAGCATACTCCTTCAGACTGCAAGTGGGGGGGGCATCATTTTTGAATACTTCTCCCTGTAACCACCTTGCATACAGAAACCTAGCTATTCAGGGGGGAAAGTTCTAGCTCACCCATATCCCTGCGGTGCCAGCTTTCTGCATGCAGGGAGTTTAATTTTTGGCATTTAACCAAGACTCTTGAGAACACAAGAAGAGCCGTGCTGGATCAGACCAGTGGTTCATCTAGTCCAGCATCCTGTCTCACACAGTGGCCAACCAGTTACTGCAGAGGTCCAACAACAAGGCATAGAGGCCAAGGCCTTCCCCTTATGTTTCCTCCTGGCTCTGGGATTCAGAGGTTCAGTGCCTCTGAATGTGTTGGTTCCCCTCAGCCACCGTGGCTAGTAGCCACTGACAGACTTATCATCCATGAATCTATCTAATCCCCCTTTAAAGCTGTTTATTCCTGAGGCCATCACAACATTCTCTTTCAGAGAATTCCACATTTAGTATTTCCTTTTGTCCGTCCTAAACCTACTGCCCACCAGTTTCATGGGAAGCCCTTGAGATCTAGTATTCTGGGAGAAAGAGAAAAAATTATCTTTGTCAACTGTCTCCACCTCATGCATAATTGTATGCAGCCAAGCACACACACACACACACACACTCCACAGAAGGAAAGTAGATAAGAGGGCAATTTTTAGTGAGTACAATTTGCAATCTGGTGGAGGAACTCTTCTTTTTTTTTAGACTATTTTAATTGGGGGGTTGAGGGGGGTGGGGATTGGCTGACAGAAGCAGCGCATAGGATGTCGGAGAATGCAGCATGGTTGCTGAGCCTGCCTGCTTGCTTCCCACCCTCTCGTCCTATATATCTGTAAACCAATGTATCTATTACAATACCACAAGAAGTCTCCAGACGCTGCCCTCCCCAAAGAAGGTGACCTTCTAAAAGGCAACCCCTGGAACTCCCTGCCACCTGCAGAACTGCAGACTGGTGGTGGTGGGGAGAACAATGCAAGAAAGGGGGCCAATATTAAAAACTAAATGAAGGAAATATATTTTAAAAATACATGTATTTATTAATCACAAATTTTAAAATTATATAAGGGCCCAATCATGCGTTTCGGCCTACATGGGCCTTCCTCAGAGGACTGCTCTTTGCCTGAGAACAATTTGGCTCTACTACCATAGGAAGGAGCTGTGGTGGCTCAAGTGGTTAAGACGCTGAACTGCAGGCTGTGGAAGGTCAGTAGTTCAGCAGTTCGAGACCCGGGTGCCACATGATGGAGTGAGCTCCCATCTCTAGTTCCAGCTCCTGCCAACCTAGCAGTTCGAAAGCAAGAAATTGCAAGTAGATAAATAGGTACCACTTCGGTGGGAAGGTAACAGTGTTCCGTGCGCCTTGGTGTTTAGTCGTGCCGGCCACATGACCACGGAAACGTCTTCGGACAGCGCTGGCTCTTCGGCTTTGAAACGGAGATGAGCACCGCAACCCTAGAGTTGGATTCGACTGGCTTTCGAGCAAGGGAACCTTTACCTTTACCTTTACCATAGGAAGGCGATTTCTGGACCAGAAGTTTATATTCGAGAACCACTTGGCCTGTGATTGCACTTTTAGAGGCCTCATTTGTCCTTTTTACTCTGTGCCTGGTGGTTTTATTTTGAAACAACTTGCTTCTGGTCCTTATTGAATTGATACTTTGTATTTACATGATTGAACTGTATTTGTATAATAGCCATTATGTTCCTCACTAATTGACCTCCGAGGAAGGCCTATGTAGGCCGAAACGCGTCAGGTCAGATTTATCAGCCCTTGTGTTTTATCATTTGTTATTTATATATAACGTGTGATTGGGCCCTTATATAATTTTTAAACTTGTGATTACCCCCCCTTTTGTCCTTGGTGGAGAGAACAACCCATCTTGGGCTCCTCTCCCTTCTAACAGCCGAGATCAGGAGGCGTCTGTTCTGCTCATGGGCTGCGATCACAGAGGACCACCTGAAAACCAAGAGACTCTCCACTAGAAGGGCTGCGTCAGAAGTTGACATCCCCTCCATGAGATCCCAGGAAAACAAGGACTCTTCTTGGCTCCGCTCGCCGAGTCCAGTATTTTGCCTCCTCCCCGTAAATCCCCTCCAGTCGCCATTCCCCCACCCCCTCCCCCAACTAAGGCCAGCAATGCAATCTTGGGAAAGGGCTCAGCCGGCCCTGTGCTCTGGAAGGCAATCCTGTTATCTGTAATTTGCATGGTCATTTGAATGTTCAGCCCGTAACTGCTCAGTGCAGTAAGGGTGAAAACAAACTTTGATACAGCCAGCCCTGGGAAACAGGTACTCAGTAGGGATGCCATCCTCCAGGTGGGGGCTGGGGATCCCCCGGAACTACAGCTCATCTCCAGACTTCAGAGATCAGCTCCCCTGGAGAAAAGGGATGCTTTAGAGGGTGGACTCTTATGGCACTGCACCCCACTGAGGTCCCTGTCCTCCCCAGGCTCCACCCCCAAATCTCCAGGAATTTCCTAACTTGGGTCTGGCAACCCAACTCCCCCATCCCTCGCCGGTGGCCGGGGGGACCTGGAAACCCTGATACTCTCTTGTCTTGGTTCTGTTTCTTTCCCTCTGCCAGGGCAACTGAAGTGAAATGGATGCATTAATCAGAGCTGCTTTCAGGGTGACTCACGCGTAACCTACGGTTGCCTTACTGAGAAGATTCCTGTACAATATTCCTTTGGCAGTTCCTCTGGCATTTCTACCCCCACCCCCAACACCGAGACGTCGTGCG